CAACTTCAAAACTAAGTTTGCTTTTTTATCCTTACAGACAGATATGCAAGACCAGCAAAAAGTTGTAGGTTTTAGATTGTATTTTTTGTGATTCCAGCCATTGTTTATCAGCAGTGTCAATCAATCAATTAGGTTTATGATGTGTGTGTGGATAGGTGATGTTAATCTTTAATAGTAAATGATGGTGGTATCTTAATAACTATTTCCTTTCTAATATAAAAAATAAAAAATGTTCTTACATACCCCTCTCTCTATAAATCCTTTTTGGTAAGATCATTAAATTCAAATAGTCAATTTGTTTAGTCTATTCAATCGATGATGATGAATTTATTAATACAACAGTTTTATTGATTCTGATCACCACACACCTTCATCAGACCAGTCATTACTATCATTTGTCATCAAATGTTAACTCAAAATAATTAGACTTACTTATGTTAGTCCTTTCTTTAATGAATTTTCTTGTTCCTTTTTGTGTGGTTATATGGAACTTGTATAATTAATAAGGGTAATATTATATACAGAAAGGTTCTTTTTATGAAATATAAGGAACCTAAGTGACAAATAAGAATTAATTCTTAGAGTTGATAAACACTGTGTAATTACTGCCACCCCTAGTCCACTAATTTAATCATTACATCATTGATAAATGTCACATAGGCTTTACAAAAATTTTGAGCTACAATTTAGTTGCCTTTTTCGTAGAATGAGTTGCCATTTTTGGTAGGTTCTGTATATTCCATAATAATATTAAACATTCATTACTAAATTTAGGATTTATGCCAGAGTTACACCATTAATAAAAAAAGAAATTAAGGGGGAATTGCTTATTTTTTTGTTATTTTTTTTAATAACATATGCAATTGACGAAAAGTCAAGTAGGTACGAGAGTGATACTGGTGGCAAGCAATGAAGGTATACCTACTTATTATCTTAAATTAGTTTATAAAAATTGATATATAATGCATCATCTAACAAACCATCTATTAAATTTCAAAGAACCACCACAAGTACCGCCCAAACCATCCATCACATTAAGGATACCCTGCTGACTGCAACTTTTGATGATGGTAGGTAATTGTGACAGATATTCTTACGCTTCATCAATCAAATAAATGACTTCATTTTTATACAAAAAAAAAAGTTTATAAAAAATTTCACCGTCTTCCACGTAGTTTTAATAGTTATTATTATTTCTCTTTTTATTCTCAAGGATCAATGAACGAACAACCTTTACACATCTTTGGTGATTTTATTTACTCCGAAGAGTAAAAAAAAAATTCTGGTATTCATATCATCTTTCCTTGATTTTTAAAGATCAACCAATCCGACTCCCTGTCGCTGATCACTGAAGGATAAAATGCAATGGGGAATTCACAGCGTGATCGGGAGGCTGTATATTCTGTTAAATTGCATTTGTCTCTTTCTCTTTTTATGGAACATGGACCGTACTGTTGGCGGAATAGGTACGGAAAAATGAACCATAAATGTGCGGAGAAAGGGATTGTGAAGGCTCATCTATGATATGGATTTCACCCTTCTAAAGCTACAACTCGATGAGATTGCGGCCATTGCTGTGATCACTCGTTGCGGCGACGTAGGAGGTTA